TTTAAAAAGGAACCTACTTTTGGAGAAAGTTTAAAAACCAAGGAGTAGTATTCCTAATAGGATTGTAGTTTTGTGTTTTCCCTTATTTCCTCTTTAGAGCCTTCCTTCCTCATCATGGTCATTTTTATTGCTTATACCAATGGCTATAATCACTTGCTTCCTGGAGACTCATCACCCTGGTATGCAAAAAAAAATGAACAGGTGGCTTCTTAGTTGGCAGGTTGGCACCCACTGCAATTGATGCTCTGCATACCTAAATATGTCTATGCTTAACTGAAGATACATGGTGAGAAAATGTGCTTAGTAGTTGAAATACACCACAGCAGTGTAATTGATTAAAAGCAGTGAAATCGAAATGTTTTCTTATTTATCTAGAATTTCAATGTCGAGAAGAAACATTTAATTTACATTAAGTGAATAGTGGAGGATTTTTGGTCAAGGCTTTTCTGGAATGTCATTTGAGCATTTGCGAACTGAGTCTAATGTTAATGATTATTTCCTTCAGTTTCATGTCATTTAATAGTTTTTATAAACCTACTCATAACTAACATTTAACTTACTTGACCAGTATTCTTCCCCTTTAAATTTCCTATATAAAGTTAATTTCCCAGAGCCATAGTTGACTAAGAGTTAAAAAGAAGGAGTGGAAAACAGAATCCTTAACCTTGTTGCCTGAAACGACCCAAAGATAGCTTGAATGAGGTGCTTCTTAATGATCACCACTAGGTGGCACTGCTGTCGTGGAATGACTAATGCAGAGACAGAGGAATGGGAGGTGTTGAAGCTGCTTGCTTTTGCCTCTAGTCTAGAGGCTTTTGTGAAGTGGATGTTTATAAAGCACAGAGTAAAGTGTAGAAAAAACTATTCTTTATCTCATCTGATAATTCTTATTGTTTTTCTGTTTTTCTTTCTGTACTTTTACTTCCTTTAGAAACACTAACACTGGGGCTGGAGATTTAGCTCAGTGGCATAAGCGCCTGCCTTGCAAGCAGGCAGTCATGAGTTTGATCCCTGGTACCAATAAAAAAACGAAAAAGACCAAAAAAAAAAAAAAAAAAAAAAAAAAGAAAAGAAACACTAACATTTTCCCCACAATGATGACTAGAATATTTTAGCCAATTGGTTTTTCTGAATTCTGCAGGAATCCTTCTTACAGCAGTATGCTATTTAATATCAACAGTGTTTTTTTTGTTTGTTCTTTGTGTTTTCAAAAAAATCTGTTTTTTTCAAAAAAATTAACAGCTGTTAATAAAATGCCCAGAATTTAAGATTGTAAAATAAGTCAGAATTTTCAGTAGTAGAAATTAGTAAAAATACAAAACAAAATATCCAGGTTTTTTTGCTTTGTTTTGTTTTTTGTTTCTTCGTAGCTCATTGCTTTTATGAGGGGCTGAGATAAAATACAGTACTTTTCATGGCCAGGTTTTCTTCAGCAACCTGATACTGTCACCTCATTGTATGCTGATGTTTTATTCTTGCACATCTTTCCTTCAGCCTTTCTACTTACCTTTAAAAAGGAACCTACTTTTGGAGAAACTTTAAAAACCAAGGAATAGTGTTCCTAATAGGATTGTATTTTTGCATTTTCCCTTATTTCTCTTGAAGCTAAACCATACTGCTAAGTTAAAACATGTAAATAGTTAATTTCTTTATAAGATTGATATTATAAACAGAAGATATAAAAGTATAGCATTGAAAATTACTTCACTTACTAATAACCTCTGAATACAATCAAAGTTGTGATCAGTGGAATAAAAGCCTGGTTCAGTGAAGTTTTGGAGACTTACTTTGTTTTCTTTTCTCACTTTGGCTTCTATTTGTGGTTTTTTTTTTTTTTTTTTTTTTTTGGATGTTTGAAATCATGCTGTAAAAGTGTAGTTAAGCTTCTTCATTTCTGAATCATTCAATTTGAGTATAGTTTGGCTTAGTCCCCAGTCTTTCTAAATACTTTCTTATATGCATGTACACGTTCACCGACTGCCGTGTGTCTCCCCTGCATCCCCTCTTGCTTAGAAAAAGTCCTTTTTGGTTCTGTAAAACTTTTTTTTTCTTTTTGGGTACCAGGGATTAAACTCACAGCCTCATGCTTGCCCAAAGCAGGTACTTGTGCCGCTGAGCTAAATCCCTGGCCTTCTGTAAAACTTAGCTGCTTCAACCTTTAATTTCTTGAATAAAAAGTGTTATCTTTTTAGGCTGTGTTTTTAATCTAAATGTTTAATTCTGTTAAGTGTATAGTTTTCTGATACTTTAACAGAATTTTATTTTTTAAATTTTATTTATTTATTTGTTTTGTACTGAGAATTGAAAGCAAGACCATGCACTTGCCAGGTAGGGTCAGGATTTTATGTTAATAATCCAGTTGCTTCTCAGAAGTTCATAGAACTTTTCAAATTTGTGTGGTCTAGTATTCTTTTTCTAGTGTTGTGAAAAATTAAAGGAATTTTTCAGTCCAAATGTAAGTTATTAGTTGATCTTTTTTGAAACATTTCATATTCTTGAAAATACATATGGGGAAGTTAATTTTTACTAAGAACTCTCATAACTTTAAGATGACGTTAAGGAAGGCCTGATAGAGGCTTGTGTCAAGTAAGGTTAAGTTTTTAGGTCTGTACTTGGTTCTCAGATGAAGGTGGTGGTGTGTTTTGAAGACAGTATCAGTCTCTTAGAATCTTGTAGCTTTTCCAGAGTGCTGTGATCTTCTAGTGACTGTTGTGCCCCTCTCTCAGCTGAGGCTGGCTGCTCTGGAGAACTCCCTTCCTAGGTTCTTGGTTTTTATAATTGCTAGCAGTGAGAGCACTGCTGCTGGTGGAGCTGACAGCTGAGCACATAGTATTTTGTTCTCTAATGTGCGTCTGTACACGTATTCCCTCCCACCACTAGTTTGGGATGAGAGGCAGTGAAGAGTTAGCTAGGTTTCAGTGCCCTCCCTGGATTTGCCTGCTCAGCTGTATGTATTTCCTTGCCCTTCCGTTCTTCCTTGCTTCTCTCCCTCCTTCACTTCCTGCCACCCTTCTTTCTTCTCCTCTCCCTCTTTTTGTTTCTCTTGTTCTCTTTTCTTTTTTCTTTCTTTCTTTCTTTCTTTCTTTCTTTCTTTCTTTCTGTCTCTGTCTCTGTCTCTGTCTTTGTTGTTTTTATCTGTCTTGGTTTTTTTCTGTTTGTTTGTTTCTTGCCAGACCTGGAGATTGAAACCAGGACCTTTGCATTGAACTATATCACCAGCCTTTTAAAAACTTTTTACTTTGAGACAAAGTCTCACTGAGTTAGAATTGCCCAGGCATGGTACAAATTTGTGATTGTCCTTCCTCAGCCTCCCAGAATGCTGTGATTACATGTGTGTACCACCAAGCCCAGCTTGTTCGATCCACATTTTTTACTTTATCACCTTGACAATTAGGGAGACAATAACAGTTACAGAAGCAGTGTCAAATGTAAAAAAAAATTCCCCCAGAATTCATTCTTCTGAAGCAAAATTGCATGCCTGATTTAGACTTGAGTCTTTCTTTTCTTCTCTTTGTGGCAATTTGCCATTGGTGGAGGGCACAATGGCTGGAAGCCTTTCATATTCTGCATAGAACCAGAGTAGAAGTATTTCTGCCTAACTAGTGGTAGGTTTCAACCTATGGGTCTAGGTATTTAAATGCAGTCCTATAGCTACAAAGCATTGTCTTATGCTGATTAACTGTTCAACTGAGCCCCAACACCCAACTAGAGACAGTTTGCTTTGTTCCCAGCAGTATGGTGGGCTGAACATGGAGATGCCACATAGCTTTTATAAGCTAGTACTCCTCACTAACATTAGTAGAGTGGGAAATGATACAAATAAATGAGAATGTGTTAAAGGAATTCTAGGTAGGTCTGCCATTTGAACCTTCTGGGGACAGGTAACACGGTAGGATCTGAACTTTTTCCTGTGAAGGGATGGAGTTACTTAGAAAAGTATAATTTACTGTTGGCAATAGTATATTTGAATGCTGACCCCCTGGATTTAGAAAGTTAAATATCTGGATATATTTGATTGTATGTGCTGTGAAGGTATATCTAATTAGTAGAAATTTTCTGGGTCACTTCTGAAACACAAGAAACAATTATGTTTAATGAATTATGTATGTTAAAATATATATCATGTTCCATTGACCTAGCTAGTCTTCTTTTTGGTATGTTTCTGAAAGAGTTAAAAGCATCATATCACAATGATGTATGCACACCCATTTTTATAGTGGCACAGTTTTCAATAGCTAAATCTTAGAAACAGCCCAAATATCCATCTGCTGATTTAGATGTGTGTGCGTGCGTGCGCATGTGCCTGCCTGCCTGCCTTCCTGTCTAGCAGTGGTGCACTACTTTGCCATAAAATAAAATAATCTTTATTGTATGGTAATCTTGAGTCTAGATAAATGGATGCACTTTGAGATCATTCTTTTAAGTGAAATAAATTAGACACACATGTGTAAATATCTCATGGTTTCTCTAGTGTGAGAAACTGAGGATAGAGATAAGGACCAAAGTGTGTAATAGAGACTGTGAAATAGGAACAAAATGTTCAAATGGGAAGGGGAAACAGGGATGTGAGAGGGGAGAAGGAGGGGAGGGAAGAGGGGAAAAAAAGGATGAGAAAAGAAGGGGGAAAATGGAAACAAAACTTTTATAAATAACGAGGGGACGGGGTGGGGTTTGAAGAGAGGATACTGGAAATGGGGTGGGGGAGAATCAAGTTTTATCATGTTCAAGTACAAATTTCTCTAAGGAATATGATCATTGTATATACCTGAAAAGTACCAATAATCTTAATTTTTTTAAAGAGCAAAATAATAAGCTTAATTTTAAAAAGTACCAAGAATTAAAATGAGAAAAAATCCCAATAGGCATCTATAATGCCATTCATCAAATTATTTGAAAGCATGTCAAAAATTCACTTTTTATGTTTTTTAAACATACATCTTGATTGTTGATGATTAATATTTGGTTGTATGATTTTTTTTCAACCAAAATCATTTTTGCAGATGCTTTTACTGACTCCGCGATCAGTGCTAAAGTGAATGGTGAACACAAAGAGAAGGACCTGGAGCCCTGGGATGCAGGTGAACTCACAGCCAGTGAGGAACTAGAAGCTTTGGAAAATGATGTAGTAAGTATCATCTCTGAGTGGTTAGCAGACTGGTCATTGTGGTGTGCATGTGATGTCCTCATTCGGTTTTAATCTAAGTCTGTGTTTATTGTTCTGGTGAATATATTTAGAGCAGCATTTGTGCAAGTTGAATTTTTTTCTTAGGCAATAAAGAGAAATGTTCTTTTAAAAAATTTTATTTTACTTGTGAATGCTAAGCAGGAGTGTGATCTGTTCTTGTATTCATGATTTATTTCCTTGTGATTAAACAGCAATAAGTAACTACAAATTTACACTGGAAACCCTGAGAGAATAGCCAGTGTGTTTCACTTTGATGCCTTGGAGAATTGAGTCAAAAAAGAGTGTAGTTTTGTCTCTTGACTTTACCTAGAGATAAAGTGGGCATTGTGCATTTTAGGCTTTTTGGAGAAGAAACGTAATGTGATTGTATTAGGATTAAATCATGATGTAATTTTCTTGGCCATAAATTGCAATCATTTTCTACAGAAACTTTTTTTAAAAATGCCTCTTGTCACATATTATTTTGCTTTTCTCCTGACATATCTTCTACAGATCTCAAATGTCTTTAGAAGAGAGATGTAACATCTTGCCAAAAAAGTGTATTTACATAGCAGAATCTGAATTGAATGAAGTCTTCCATTGAGAACAGAGAAATCTGTGTTCATTGTTTAAAGAATAATTTAATAATTTGTATCTTCTCTTCCTCAGACTTTACTCTGACTATAAAATGAGAAATTCATAGGCAGATGTCCTTATTAATTTTCATTAAAGAATCATGTAGAGCCTAATATAACCATTCTCCATGATGCATCTCATCAAGGTGGGAAGTGGGGAAATAGGGCCTTCTTTTGCTGTATATAGTGAGATATAGATAGTGTGAGACTTTCTGGGATGAATTGGGCAGTATTTATCAACATTTTAAATGCACTTAGAATTTGTTCCACTAACTCTGTTAAGAATTTATTTTTACTCCAACAGATCTTTTTTTTTTGGCACCGGGAATCAAACTTGGGACCCTGCAGGTTCTGTGCTGCTGAGCTATATCCCTGGCCCACTCCAACATATCTTAATACCAGTAATGCCAGTAATTATATATGAGAATATTTTTGTAGCATTGTTTCACTAGTTATGTGTCCAACAATAGAGTATGAACTGAATAGATTTATAGTGCTGCTGTTCAAATAGAAATTCTGTATATCTATCAAAAGATTGGTGTTCCAATATGAAATGATAATTCAAGATTAGAAGAAAAAGCAAGTTATGGAATAATAGGTCTGACTTAAAGAAAGGAGAAGATTGAGGCACTGGTGCTGCACACTTGTAATTCTAGCACTTAAGGAGGCTGAAGCAGGAGGATTGCAAGTTCAAGGCTATCTTGGACTATATAATTTGGAATTACACTCAGAAAACTGTTGATAATAGTTATGTATATTGGGATTGGAATATCTTTACTTTGTACTAGATACATTTTTACCTTATGTGAATTTTTTACATAGAGCATGTATTGCTTAAATAATTTTAATCTCCACTGGTAATTGTGGTTTCCTGCCTCCATGTGTTAGGTCAGAGGATTAACTTTACTGATAAAATTATAATGATAGTCTTATCAGTATAATACAGGAGGACCTATGGTTGATGGGTGAATTCTAACATAAGCTTGTGTGTTGCCATTGGTGTTGGCATTTCTTTTATGATGCTGGGCCTGCTCTTTGGGATAGGTAGGGGTTGTGTCTGGATTTCATGCCTTCTTACCACTCGGTTAGTCTGGCATTGAAAGAAGCAGTAAAAAAATAGATGATTAACCAGGCATTAGTATTTTCCCATGAGGATTATTATTTGCCTCAATTAGTTGATTGTTGGAGTAAAGAGTGCAGCCTGCTGGAGGATATGGTGACACTTGCCTGTAATCCTAGTGCTCTTGGAAGCCAAAGCAGGAAGATAAATTCTAGCCCAGACTGGGCAGCTTAATGACTTAGCAAGATCTTGCCTTAATATTTCTCCTAACAAATTTAATTTTTTAGGCTGAGACAGGAAGATTGTTGCAAATTCAAGGCCAGCCTGAACTGCATAGTGAAACCTTGTCTCAAAAAGACAAAAAAAAAAAAATGAATCGCAGACATAACTCAGTATAGGGGCCCTGTGTTCAGTTTCTAGTTCCACCAAAAAAAAAAAAAAAAAAAAAAAAAAGAATGTAGCTTAGCTTTTGAGAGTGGTAGTTTTTGTAGGTCCCTTATAGACAAAAAGTTACTCATACATTAATTATGCTAGAACACTGAAATCTAGAGTTGCTGAGGCTCCATAGTTGCTAATTGCAAAACCAGTTGTAAAACTCAGCCCTTGCTGGGTATGGTTACGCACACTGGTAAGCCCTATACTCCAGGAGGCTGAGGCAGAGGATCACTGAGAATTGGGAGCCAGCCTGGGCTACAAAGTAAGTACAAGGCCAGCCCAAATTGCATAGTGAAGCCCTGTCTTAAAAGAAAAGCCATAAATAAATAAAATGAACGCAGCCATTGTGACTTGGTCCTCTGATGCTCCGTGTTACCTTTCCTTCTAGAATTCCTAGGAGGAAGGGGAAGGGTGACTAGGGTCTAGTATTGTGGTCCTTCTTTGAAGTATGGCAGGGTAGGGCAACTTTTGGTTTCTCCCTTCTTTCCCCTAAATATTTGGAGTATTTTTGTCTCCCTTTCACACAGCTCATGATGGTGATCTCAAGAAGAAGGTTCTAGGTATGCTGGGGCTAAGTGAAGAGAAACCTGATTCCAAGGCTCTGAATTAATGTAGTTACTAAAATGTTGTAAGCTTTTCTAGTAATTTTGGATATAATTGTGTTGCATATTTACTGTCCAATTTGAGGACTGATATGTAGAAGAAAAAATTTTTTAAAACTTTTTAAAGGAAATTTCTGGTTATTTTTATATTTGTTAGATTTAATTCATTAGCTCTTGCTACTGTAAATATTGATTGTAACTGAATTAAAGAACACAAGTGCTTTGTCATTTTGAAAAAAGAGTTTCATTTTTTTCTAGTCTAATGGATGGGATCCCAATGATATGTTTCGATATAATGAAGAAAATTATGGTGTAGTGTCTACATATGATAGCAGTTTATCTTCATATACGTAAGTTTAATGTTTTTATTTTAGTTCGTTTGGCTTCAGTTTTCATCAAGTTAAATTTTGGTGTTGAATAAATGTTTCCGTTAGTTTGTTTTGTTTTATTGGTACCGGGAATCAAACTCACAACCTTGTGCTTGCCAGGCAGGCATTTAATGGCGCTGAGCTGTATCCCTGGCCCTCATTAGATTTTTAAGTTACACAATTATATAAAAGATTTATTCTGTTATGATGTACACTGGTAAATGCCCATTAAAACAGGGAATATATCCATACCTGAATTTTGTGCTTAAAAGATTTTGTTTTTAAATTGTAAAAAATTAACTTTGCAAGAGTCATGGTGAGCTATTAAATGAGTTTTTGAAATATTAACTGTTTTCCATTTAAAAGGTAACTGAAAAATTCAAATTCTGATTTTTTAAACTGAGCACAGTACCTTGATAGTTTTCCAGTATTTTAAACCCTAAACTTTAATATTTGATTGCAGTAGATATACAGTAATCAAAATAATCAGTTTTCTTTTTTTTCTCATGTTTTAGGGTGCCCTTAGAAAGGGATAACTCAGAAGAATTTTTAAAACGAGAAGCAAGGGCAAACCAGTTAGCAGAAGAAATTGAATCAAGTGCTCAGTACAAAGCTCGGGTGGCCCTGGAAAATGATGATAGGAGCGAGGAAGACAAGTACACAGCAGTTCAGAGAAATCCCAGTGAACGCGAGGGGCACAGCGCAAACACTAGGTATTTAAAGGAATCATGATGCAGTATTTTGGATACACGACTCAAGGTCTGTGTGAGGAGGTGTATTGTTATTATTATTGTTTTATTTCTCTTTAATGAAGCTTAGGTACAGAATGCAAATGGAATTGGTTTCAGGTCCTGTTAAAGATTACGGTAACCTTGGAGAAGATAATTTTTTTTTTTCCTTTTTTTCCTTTTTATTGGTACCAGGGATCGAACTCATGACTGCCTGCTTGCAAGTCAGGCGCTTATGCCGCTGAGCTAAATCCCCAGCCCCAGAGAAGATAATTTTTGAGGTAGCTCAGTGGAGCCAACTGCTAAGTATACATAATAAACAAGCCAAAGTCCTGGAGAGCTGCTAAAAAATAATTGCAAGAGGGGAGGCACATGCAACACAGTAACAGGACCATGTAATTGCTAGATTAAAGATGTATTCAAAGTACTAGGAATAGGCAAAGCGAGGCAAATCTCTAGAAGAGAGTCTCACTCAGGTGGTGACATTTTGTATGGGATTATGAATCTGCCTTCCACGCAGAGGAGTATGGGAGAAGAATTTCTCTCCTAGTGAAGACACAGTGCAGAGGCATGGCATTGTGAGAGAACCCAGAAATTAGGAAGAGGCTAGTACTTTGTCTGGAACCCAGGGCCTATATTGTGGGTGCAGTGGTAGATGGTAATAAGAACTGAGGGTCCTGGAATGACTTCGTGTTTCCTGCTAGAGTACTCCTTGGGCAGGAGGTTGGGGAACAGACCCTGGGCCGTTGAGAAGCGGTGACACAGGGGTTCTGCTGTGTATTGCAGTAGTTAAACTACAAGAATTAAGCTACCAGTTAGACCAAGACTAGTAGTAAAAAGGTTAGAAAATCCAGGGCTGACCCTGAGGTTAATTTGATAACTGAAATGATGATAGTACTGAAAATAGAGATAGGAATATGGAACAAGGCAGAGGAGATAAAGGGTGACTTTGTACAGTTTATTGTATTTGAGGGAATTGTGGGTTTTTGATTTTTGCATAATTATTGAATTGAGGAACGCACCTGCTACAGATACCTGGTAGAGTGGGAGATGCATCCCATCTTCAAGACATTCAGCGGCTAGAGCCTGGTGATTTGAATTGGCATGTCCCTTAAACTCTGCCCTTAAGGAGGGCAATCTGAGGGAAGGAAGAAGTCAGAGGCTGGAACTTGGTGGTAAGACAGAAGAATAGGGGAGTGAAGCAGTTGGTTTAATGTTGAACCTTTTTATAACAGACATTTGTATCTGCCTAAATAACTTTTAGATATGTTTCATTAGTTTGGTGCCTATTAGGAAAAAATGATTGAGAAGATCTCTCATTTTCAGGGAAAATAAATATATTCCTCCTGGACAAAGAAATAGAGAAGTCATATCTTGGGGAAGTGGGAGACAGAATTCACCGCGTATGGGCCAGCCTGGATCCGGCTCCATGCCATCAAGATCCACTTCTCACACTTCAGATTTCAACCCGAATTCTGGTTCAGACCAAAGAGTAGTTAATGGAGGCAAGTATTTTGACCAAATTTGTCAATGTCATTGATCAGATAGTAGTTTTCTATCTACTTAAAAGACTTTTTACCTAATTGGCAAGAATGTGCACACTATAAATGAGTTCTGTAGAGTTCAGACTTCAAAATACATAAGATTTGTAGTTATCAAATTAGCAAAATTGTGCAAGTCACTGCCATACACAGTATTCAGCATCATAAAGTACTTTTAAAAGATAAAGTGCAAAATTTATCTCAGACATTGACATAGTCAAAAAACATTTCACATGTAAAGAAATTGGAAACTTTGAGTAGGTTCTCAATTTTAAAAACACTGGGTAATAAAACAATTTATCTGTATAATGCTAATATATATGAAATAGTACTTAGTATATATTCATTTCATTACTGTTTATGTATTTATATTCTGCTTCCTTCAAGAAAGGATTTGAAACTGGCCATGTAATCCCAGCAGTTGAGAGGCTGAGGCAGGAGGATGGCTGCAAGTTTGAGGCTAGTCTTAACTACATAGCGTGATCCTGAGAGTTGTAATACTAGACAGTCATGTGAAGGAAGTCATATGAAAAATGTACTTCAAAGTACAACAGGAACAACTCTTAGTCTCTAAGGGTGGATGTTACAGTTGAACAATTTATGTAAAATAAATTTGAGTCTTTTAGTAGAAAGATGTTTTCTCCTGTACTCTAAATCTTATACCTCAGGCATGGTTTATAAAATTCTGGGATACTGAACAGCAGAACTGCAGGATAAGAAGTAACAGCAGTAGTGTGCTACTGCCTCCAGGAAATAGGTGGCCATTGCATTTTGGATATTTAAGAAAATCTGAAAGATAAAATAAAGAACCCTAAGTTTCCAATTTCATTTGTTTTTATTGAGTCTTTTTTCCAGAATTCCTCTCCAAATGAACACTCTTGAGTATTTTCTATATTTAATATTGGGGGTGAAATTTCTTTGCTCAGTGAGTAAAGATTTTTAGTTATTCATAAACAGAATTTTCAAAGTAAAAAGCTGAAGGGAGCAGGGAAACATGTATGATACTCAAGTGTGTAAAGCCGTCTGGAGAGGAGAACTGGACTGTTTCATGAGATTAAGGTAAGTGATTTATCTGTAATGTAAATGTCAACCTTATTTCACCTTTGTATGTCTATCAGTATCAGTTTTATTTGATAGTGACTGCTTTGCAGTTGCATTATTATAATAGTCCGTTAGATAATGTGTTTAATTATAAATTATTTAGGAGGTTCTCCCTTTTCTGGTTTAATGAGTTTAAGACATTTGTTACTTCTGTGACCCTCAAAAATGGAAATAATGTTTTATTCCTATTTAAATGGGACTTGTTTAATGAGGTTTCAAAGTGAATCATATATTCATTTAAATATTTGATGAAAAATCATATATGATTTTCAGAAACCAGCTTAAAATTACCATAGCTGCTGCTTATTTTCATTATGTTTCAGAGCTAAAACTAATACAGTAAATAATCTTGGCTAGGAATTACTGTGTTTTATTGTATGGAATTATCTAGTATATATTACGTCTTTTTTTTTGGTAATAGTTGTTTACTGAGAAATAGTTAAAGAAACAGGATTACTAGGCACAGTCTAACTGTCTTCTTCAGTAGTATGTGTAGATCCTAATTAACCCTTTGGGAACGTGTATTTATTTAAACAGACTTAATTTGAAGGAAGTAAAGTTAAATGTGCATTTGTGTCAGTTGAGTTATGCTAAAACTTATCACAAATCAAATGACTGTCCTCAAAGGGTTAAAATGTACAAGAAATCATTTTTGTCATTTTACTTTTTTTCTGTTTACTTTTTTCCCTCATTTTTTTCTTTAGTTTTTATACTTTCCTTCATATCATTTGTTCTGTCAGGTGTTCCCTGGCCATCGCCTTGCCCATCTCCTTCCTCTCGCCCACCTTCTCGCTACCAGTCAGGTCCCAACTCTCTTCCACCTCGGGCAGCCACCCCTACACGGCCGCCCTCCAGGCCCCCCTCGCGGCCATCCAGACCCCCGTCTCACCCCTCTGCTCATGGTTCTCCAGCTCCTGTCTCTACTATGCCTAAACGCATGTCTTCAGAAGGTACAATACCACAATTTGTTCATGTTTTTGTTTGTCTTTGTTCAACTCCTATGTGAGTTTATAGTTATAAAAGTTTCCTTTTCATTATTTAATATCTATAATTTTTGTGTTTTAACTTTAGTTTGTTAAAACTACTTCTATTAACCTTTTGTTCGTTAGAAATTTGATAAATGCTGTGTGATTCAATGAATTATCCTGAATTGTAAGAAAGGAGAATTACTGTCTCTCTGCCTGGTAATGATGCCCATGTACAATCCCAGGAATGTCTAATCAGGGGCTCTCCCTCCTGATAGTAGATGCAGTGGATAATGGTAGACAGTGAACCATATCTACCAAGTATTAGACTGACCATAGAGTTTGTCATTTCATAGCTCTTTGGCAAATATGCCAGTGAACCTTCCTATGGGTCATAGGCAGAAATGGTGTTTCAAGGAATTTTGTTTGAGCGTGAGACTCCATGCAGCTGCCTTTGTAGGCCTGCTTTCAGATTACAGTGTAGATTGTGATTTTTAGACCTCTAAGGAATCTAAACTTAGTAATTTTTTAAAATTAGCTTTGCAATATTGAGGCAAAAAGCCAATTTAATCTAGAGAAGTCTGTGATCTAAAATAAAATCGTTGATGAAAAATAGCTGTGGGCTGGGCATAATGGTGTGTGACTGAGGCTAGAGGGCTGCAAGTTTGAAGCTAACCTTGAGCACTACAGTGGCACTCTGTCTCCAGAGTAAAAGTATGAATTTGAATCTTTAGACTTTTTTTCCTATCCTTGGCAAAAACAAGAAGAAAATCATGTAATTCTTAAGTATTTGATACTAAAACCATCATTGCTATATATCAATAGTTGGGTATGTTTTAAGATGATACGCTAATTGAAATGCAGTGAATAAATTTAAAATATTGCCTGTCTTCTAAATGATAATACCCTTTTTGTTCAGACTATTTGTTAAAATTTTAATCAGGTTTTTTCATTGAAATCATAATAGAAATAGCTTATGTTGATGCTATTAAGTTTTCTTTAGCTGCTTGTAAATAAATTGTTGGCATCCAAGCAGAGAGTTCATGTGACCTTGGGTGAAGCATTTAACACTGAATAGGATCTTTCACAGATTTTCAAGGTGACTTCTTTCTTCACAAATTTCCCTTAATACTAGCCACTAAATGCAAAGTTCTATTGAAGTATTTATTGTAGTTCATTTGCTTGACTAAATGTGTGTATTATGAGAAAGTGTTAGATAAAATACACTTTTCATGAGAGCATCTTTATGACTTTCAGATGTAAGGTGTTCTTACAGACGTACACCTTCTGCATTATTCCTGGATGCTGGATATCTCCAGCTGACAAACTGTGTGCCCTTAGCATATTTTAAAAGATTGTGTCTGGGAACATACATTAATTTGATGTTCTTAAAGAATTTGATCTTAGGATGTGACTAAGAGTTTTGGCTTTGACACTAGGATATTTTCTTTGTGTTTCTCCCTGTATATGTGGTGAGAGCAATTCTGTGTAGTGTTTTCACTTGAGAGTTAGGTTTGATGCACAGTAGAGAGAGGGAGGGAGAGAGAGAGAGAGAGAGAGAGAGAGAGAGAGAGAGAGAGAGAGAGAGAAACTACTAATGGAATGACAGAATCTGATGTAGAATTTTGACATGAGTGTCAACTGACCTGGTCTTAATAGTCATGCTTTAACAGAATTGTCAAATTGTGGCATAAAAAAACTGCTTACAGGGGCTGGGGATTTAGCTCAGCGGCCTAAGCACCTGCCTTGCAAGCAGACGGTCATGAGTTTGATCCCTGGTACCGATTTTAAAAAAAAACACTGCTTACAGGTGAGGACTCTTAAACCATGAGTTATAAAACTGTTGATCTTGGCAGCTAGGTAAACATTTAGAAAAATTTAAGATGGAGTATGCATACATTTCAGTAGTTTAGGAGGTTAGTGGTGTTTCATTTAAAAAATATTATTTCCCTGGGGACATACTTCAGAGGTATAGCACTTGCCTAAGGCTTTCCATTTGACATCCAGCCCTGTAAAAGAAAAAATTAAAATATAAAAATATTTTAAGTTGGAGGCCAGCCTGGCAACTTAGCCAGACCCTGTCTCAAAATTAAAAAGGGCTGGGGATATAGCTCAGTGGTAGAATTCTTGTTTAGTATATGCAAAGCCCTGAGAAAAGAAAAAGGGGTAAAGTACATAAAAATATGTGAAGTAATACATTTTAGAAAATTGAAACAGAAAGTAAAAGTATCTAGTAATGTAAAAATTATTCCTTTGTGTAGCTATAACATCCATTAATATTTTTATTTTTATGTGCCTGCAAATAATGGATGGAGACTAAACAGACTACTAAATTCTTTTAAAGGTTATAACATCTTACTATTTGATTCCTCACAACCAACTTTATTCCTTTCTTTCTTTAAAAATAAGGGGATATAAAATTCATTTATGAGCTTGTAATGCTCCACAGAATGATTCTGAGTTAAGTGTGGCTGAATATATGTATGTTGTGGGATTGTTATTCATTATTTTAACCAAAGAGAAACTGTTGAATGAATGAGAAAGAGAATTTGCGTATTTGGTGGAAAAGTAGTACTGATAGACATAGTAGCATTTTTGTGATGTTTACTGTTCCTTTCTTAGGGCCTCCAAGGATGTCCCCAAAGGCCCAGCGGCACCCTCGAAATCACAGAGTCTCTGCTGGGAGGGGTTCCATATCCAGTGGTCTAGAATTTGTATCTCACAACCCACCAAGTGAAGCATCTACTCCTCCAGTGGCAAGGACCAGCCCCGCAGGGGGAACGTGGTCATCAGTGGTCAGTGGGGGTAGGTATCATTTGGTTTTGGGTGTATAGCAGTGTTCATTGGATAATTCCTTGGGATGTAAAATGCACTGAGCCAAAGCTCTATTTGAGGAATTGTAAGTGTGTGTATTTAAAATAGTGACTTTTAATAGGAATTCCCCAATAGAAATTGGGGAAGCTACATTTTTGTTTTGGGGGTCCTCTACTTATTTATTATATATTAGAGGAAGTCATGCAATCATCTACATTTCAGTTTTCTCAGTGAATAATGTTCTTTGTAGTATACTTTATGAGCTTGTGATGCCATAGATGAGGTCTGTTAATGTGAATAATAGTTGTGAATACATGTGAATGTAGTTGGTAGTTAGTACTACAATATAAGGAAAATACAGTTTATAACATTATTTGAAATAACTTTCTCATCTTTTTAGCAACTTTGCTCATTGATTCATTCCACAGATATTTATTTTGGGCTGTAGTGGGATGTGTTTTTGTAGCATCTAGATATGGCAGTAATGCCCACCTATATATTTCCTTTATAAGAATTACCAAACACAACTGAAAGACACAGTTTAATCTGTGATTAGCCTAGAGAATGTGCTGATGTCCAACAATTACAAAGAAGTATAAAAATCACATTTTGACAAGATATTATGGTTATGCTGAGATTGCTTTGGCTACTTTATCAATCAGTGCTTAGTGCTTTGCTCCCATGGTAATTGTGAAGAGTTAGAATATGCAGTGGTTGCTTTTCTTCTTTATCTTACGCAGTCATAGAAACTAACAGAAAAAGATCTTTAAAGCATAATGTCCAGTGTTGTTACATGTCTGTTTTTATTTGATGTGCACTGCCAGGCGTGGTAGCATACGCCTGTCATCCCAGCACTCAGGAAGCCAAGGCAGAAGGATCTCTCTGAGATCTGGGCCTGCCTTTTTTACATAGTGGGTTCACAGCCAACTTGAATTACATAATAAGAGTGTGTCTCAAAAAACCAAAAAAAAAAAAAAAAAAAAAAAAGAAAAGAAAAAAGTACTTTTTGCTAAACTTTGTGAGATAAACACTCACATGATTGTTCTGTAAATTTCTTTGTTTTCTTTGTTGGTTTTTAATGAAGATTAACAAAAAATACAGATTTTAAAAATGTTTGGCTTAGGAGCTGGGGATTTAGCTGGGGATTTCAGCGGCATAAGCGCCTGCCTTGCAAGCAGGTAGTCGTGAGTTCGATCCCCGGTACCAATAAAAAGGAAAAAGACAAAAAAAAAAAAAAAAAAGAAAAGTTTGGCTTTAATGATAATGCTTTGACATTACTCAGAGGGTCTGGACATGAACTTTGAGAATAACATTGTTACAAGCAAGAGAATAAAAATATAGCTGTTAGAGATCCATCTGGCTGTGGAGGGGGATTGCTGCAAGTTTGAGGTTAGCCTAGACTATGCAGTGAGATTCTCTCAAATCCTCTCCTCCCAAAGAAAAAATAGCATTGTTAGTCTGTTCTTTATACTGATTAGAAAAATGACAAATAATAATTTCCTTCCATTTCTCCTGTATCTTAAAAAAGCAAATTGCATCAGACTGAAGTAAGTCAAAACACTTTGTCTAAATCTTGAGTATGAAGCTGGTTAGAGTTTAAGATCATGGGTAATATCAACCAATCTGTACTATTTTCTTGCATTGTCTAACGCTTTTGGCTAAACTAGGTCTTCAGTTCCTTACTGCGTGCACAGTGGATCTTGATGTTGAAAGAAAGCACAAGTGAAGTGTGGTGGTGCATACCTGTAATCCCAGCACTCAGAAAGCTGAGTCAGGAGGATTGCTGCGAGTTTGAGGCCAGCCAGCATTGCATAGTGAGACCCTATCTCAGAAAGTCCTCCCCTCACAAAACATGTTAATATGATTACGTAGGAGAGAAAACTAAAATTGTCCATAAATATTTAGTAATTGCTGTTTTTCAAATGCTAATGTTATCAGTTATTACCACTTTTCTTAAGATTTAGAAAACAAGCTGGGGGATAAAGGTTGGGAGCTGGGGAAGACTGTTTTACCTAAATCCTTAGAGATACCTCTTTGAGGAAGTGACATTTGAGCTGACAGTGTAATTGGTAATGTTTTCCTTCTAGTTCCAAGATTATCTCCCAAAACTCATAGACCTCGGTCTCCCAGACAGAACAGTGTTGGAAGTACTGCCGGTGGGCCGGTTCTTGCTTCTCCTCAGGCTGGCATTATTCCAGCTGAAGCTGTTGCCATACCTGTTCCAGTTGCGTCTCCCACACCTGCAAGTCCTGCATCCAACAGAGCTGTAACCCCGTCTGTTGAGGGTATGTAACAGAGGGGTGCCAGAGGTGTGCATGATACCAAAAACTGGTTTTAATTTTAGATATACTTTGAATACACATTTACATTTTTATATAAATTAAGTTAGTTGCTTATACCATTGATTTCATATAAGTTATTCTTTAATATCTGATATTATGAAAGTTAAATTTCCCTGGCCACTAAATACTTCTAAAGTATAATTACTGGTACTTCATAGATTGCCTACAAAGAAAAAAAGCCTCTGTGAGTTTTTACTAAAAAGATGGGAAATCAAAATTGCTGAATTTTTTCTTCACTTTTCTAACTATATCATTCTGATTTTTGCCCCCTAGCCAAAGACTCCAGGCTTCAAGATCAGAGGCAGAACTCTCCTGCAGGGAATAAAGAAAATACTAAACCCAGTGAAACTTCACCTACTTTCTCAAAAACTGAAAGTAAAGGTTAGAATCTTAAAAAGTTTTCAGATGTAACCATAGAAATAGGAAGGGGTATGTCTTAATTCTGTGCTCAGTACAGAATATTTTTGTTTAAACAGTTTTTCCTGGCATTATATAGGTGGAGACACATAGTTTGATAAACATTAGTATGTAAAATTAGTATTTAAAGTTGTTATTCTTTTGATGGTAAATTGTTATTTTTAAGAATTTTAAGTGAAAGGTTGGAAGTAAGATTGTGTCACCAGGGGTTTATGTCTGGTTCCAGCACTTGCCCGGTAAGCACGAGGTCATTAGTTTGATCCTCAGTACCAAAAAAAAGGGAAAAAAAAAAAGAAATAAGATTGTATCTAATAAGTCTTAATTTTTGCAGGTATATCACCAGTTGTTTCTGAACATAGAAAACAGATTGATGATTTAAAGAAATTTAAGAATGACTTTAGGGTAAGTATTGTATTCATTAATGAATTAGAATTTTAGAAAATAAGTAATAAGCTGGGTACACTATTCAGGAGGCTGAAGCAGGAGAATAGTGAGTTAAAGGACAGCCTGAACAACTTCGTTTCTGTCTCAGAATTGCTCAGTGATTGAGGACCCTGGAGTTCAATCTCAGTATGACAAAAGTAATAATTAGAGTCAGGGATATAGCTCAGTGGAATGATACCTGCCTGGCAAGTGCAAAGTCCTGAGTTCGATTCCTGGTTCCAAAAAAATTAAAAAACAAAAATAATAAAAATAAATGCAGTAAACATTAATCATTTTTAGATCATCAATTTACAACAGTGTATTATGCAAATACTAAAAAATAACAAAGCATGTGTGTAGGAAATTAAACTTTCTTAAAGTTGTCTTTGTCCTATAAGTGTGATAACCTGAAATCAAGAGATTTGCTAAGAATAATACAGGTATCAAATGAGGGTGTTGCTGGATGTGGTGGTGCATACCTGCAATCCTCGTAGTTGGGAGACTAGGGACATAGTGCCTGCCTGGCAAGCACAAGATCCTGAGTTTGATTCTTGGTACCAAAGCGAGACTCTGGCTTTAAAAAAAAAACACATAATCTTGACATCTGAAATTATTATAACAACATAGCTTATCCGTTGATGCTTACTATTACCTTGCTTAGTCTGGCCAAATTTTAGTAAAGCAAGGCCAAGTCATTACCTGATATGGTTGATAGAGGTATACTGGAGCTTGATGTTCTGAGTAAATTTCTGCTTTGTGAATAAGTGTATGAATGTGGTAGAAATCTTTCATGTGCTTAATTTTTGCAGTGCTGGAGATCAAATCTAGCATGGTAGGCAAGTGCTATACATTGAGCTATATCCTTAACCGCTGGTAGAAATCTTTGTATAATATTTTTCTATTTTACCACAGGCCTTTCTGAACATATCCTGAACTCTCCTTGATGACTATTTCATTCTTTTGCATGAAATTGATTATACTATAGATATCATGGTAGATTTTGAGACGAATTCAAGAAGCCATATGGGATGGGGATTGATTGATTGATTGATTGATTGATTGATTGTTTGGTACCTGGAGTTAAACTCTGGACCTTGCGCTTGCCAGGCAGACACTGTGGGGATGGGGATGTATAGCTCAATGATAAAGTGCTTGCCTAGATGTAAAGGGCCTCTTTGGCTTCCCAGCACAAAAAACAAAAATTGAAATTTAGCTTATTAGCAAGGACAGATAAGATTATCAGCCTTAAAAATAAATGACTGGACTAAAAGATGAATGAATCAAAGGGATGAAGCAGCATTTTCTCAGTCTTTGTTCCAGCTCCCCAAATGTTTTCTGATTTTTTTTTAACTAATGGTTTCATTCTTGACTTAATGACAAAATCGAATAATGTATAACATTTCATACTTTATCATATCTATTCAGCTTCAGTGTTTAGTTATTAATTTAAATTTTAATTTATTAAGCAATGATTAGTACAGATAATACAAAGAATAATAATGAGTGGCCACATGCCCACTACCCAGGTAAGTCAGTCAGCTCAAGCCTTCAGCACAAGATCTTCTTGTGTACTTGCTGTGTTCAGCTGCTTCCTCCTCCTCCCTTCCAGAGGGAAGCTTATTTTAAATGCAGTTCTACTCACACTACATATGAAAAGCTCCCTAATAGATCAGACTTTTTTGTATAGCTTTAAATTTGTTATAAATGATATCATGATATCATGCCATAGATACACACGCCCATTTGGGTTTTTCCTCAGAATTAGTTGTTCATTTGTTTGGTATTGGGGATTGAACTCACGTGCTTGCTGGCTAGGTGCTGTGCCACTTGGCTTCATCCCTGGCCCTTAGCATTATTTGGTTTGTAATGGTTTTGTTTGTTTGTAGTATACTGGCATTAAATGTTAAGAAAAAGATTTTTACATTATAGCATATGAGTGTGTTTTTGTACCAGCTTTATTAAGATATAATTCATGTATTATACAATTCAACCCTTTAAAGTATAGAATTGAGTGGTTTTTGTGTACTCCCAGTATTGTTACAACTGTCAGCACAGCTGACTTCAGAATATATTCATCAGGCCCTGAAAGAAACCCAGTATCCTTTGGCAGTCAGTCCCTGTTTGACTTGCTTCTGTCTGCCTCCCCTGTCTAAGCAAGCACATATCTGCTTTGTGTCTCTGTAGCTTTGCCTATTCTCAACTTAACATACGATATTTTCTCAAGGTTCATCCATGCTGGTTCATTCCAATTTTTGGCTGAATACTTACTAATAATGCTGTATTTTGTTTGTTCATCAGTGCATTCCTTACTGTTCTCACTTTTCTAGAATTATGAATAATGTTTCTATAAATATTAGTGTACAATTTTTATGTTGATATAATGTTTTCATTTCTCTTGCATATGTACCTTCTAGTGGAATATTTGGGTTCTATGGTAACTCTTGTGTTAAACCTTTTGAGGAATAGCCAAGTCATTTGCCAAAGCAACAGTACTGTTTTACATTCCTACTAGCAGTATATAAGAGTTGTTATTTTTTTTTTTTTTTTTTTGGTTTTTGGTTTTTTCAAGACAGGATCTTGGTATATAATTCAGGCTGGCCTGGAACTTATGGCAGTCCTCCTGCCTCAGCCTCCCAAGTGCTGAGTTTACAGCAGTGCAGCACCACACCCAAAAAGAATTTTTAATTTTCCACATCCTTGTAGGCAATTATTGTTTTGTTTTTGTTTTATTTTTGTCTGTTCGTTTGCTTTAGATTTCAAATACATTTTTTCCTGAGTATTGCATATAGCACTGTTTTATGGGAATCAAAAATATAAAACAACAACAAAAAAAACCAGCTAAGCAGACAGTAAAACAAAAACAGGTTGTTTTGGGGCTGGAGATTTAGCTCAGCGGCATAAGCACCTGCGTTGTAAGCAGGCAGTCGTGAGTTCGATCCCCAGTACCAATAAAAAAGAAAAAGACAAAAAAAAAAACAACAAAAAAAAAACAGGTTGTCTTGTGGACCACTTCTATTCCTTACTTGAAACGTCCTTAACCAGGGATATACATCTCAGCAATGCAGCGCCTACCTGGCAAGCACAAGGTCCTAAGTTCTATTCCTGGTACCAGGAAAAAAAAAAACCCAAACATAATCAGATCACTGAAACTACACAATTTCCATACCAAATACAAGTTTTGTCAAACAATTTCTCAAAATAAGACTGTATGTACACCTATACCTCAACTTTTCAGTAATACAGGTCTACATTGCACTAGACTGGGCTGTTATTACCAACACTTGAAAAAATACACCACCAACAAGTACATGAATTGGATTATAAAAATTTATTTTATTTTTACTGTGTTTTGTTTTATTTTGTTGTACTGGGAATTGAACTCAGGACCTTGCACTTGCCAGGCAGGCAGGCAGGCACTTATGCCACTGAACTACATCTTTGGCTATTTTATTTTGTTTTTTAAATTTTTAGGAAGAGTCTGACTATGTAGTTTAGGCTGGCCTTGAATTTGCTTTATGTATCCCAGGCTGGCCTCAAACTCAGAGCTATTCTCTTGCCTCAGCCTTCCAAGTGCTGGGATTATAGGTGTGCAGCACCATGCCCAGCTCACAGTAAAAACAAAAACAAAAAAACGCTGTCGAACTGTATGAGGAGGTTATTTTGAGTTGCACTATCTCTGCCGAAGTTGTATCATATATGCAAAATTCAAACATTCTTTGTAAAATCACATGTAAGGGGGTCAGGGGTTTAGCTCAGTGGCGTAAGTGCCTGCTTGGCAAATGCAATGTCGTGAGTTCGATCCCCGGCACCAAAAAAAACAAAAAAAGAAAAAAGAAAAATCACATGCAAGGATGTAAATACACTGTAAATTTAGCAAAATACTTTCAGGTATACAAGGATAAACACGGGGGGGGGGACGTTAAATTACTGAGGAAGACAATTGCCAAATAAATTCTTCAAGAATGGTTTCTTCTGAGTTATTAAAAAGCAGCCCTTGGTCTTAGATGCATTCCACCTAGATAAGTGCAGAAAATAAGAAACAAGAACCACAGTGATGCATTGTAATAATGTTTATAGTGACTCATCTTTTGAATTCAAGAATTTGCATACTTAGAAAAGAAAATTACTTAAAAGTCAGATTTTAAAAGATCTTGTTTTTCCCTTGTGTATTGTTCTCTAACATTGAGAAGTTGTTAGGAGACCAACATAGTAAAAGTTCCACAAGCTACATAATGGATCTGCTTAAAATGGTATATGATCTCAATATAGCTAGTAATATAGTCCAGCCCTAACTTCATTTTATTAGAAAAGCTAATAAATAAGGAAGGGTAAATCTAAATTCCCAAGTGGGTATGGTAGTAAATGCTGTCATCCAGCTTTTGGAAGCTGAAACAGGACGATCTTTGCAATTTGGAGGCTGCCCCAACTTGCAAAGTAGAGAAAACTTACCTCAAAAAAAAAAAAAAAAAGACAAAGACAAATAAAACAAAACATGGCAAATAAACCATGGCAAATACAAACATAAAGAAAACAAACCTCACCAACCAAAATTGCCTACATAAATACAGCCTTATTACAAAGTGAGGATATAACATACTCTGCAGCACATTTTATTACATTTCTCACATTCGTGTTCTGTTATTCAGAAATTAAAGACCATCTTTTTTTTTTTTTTGGTACTTGGGATCAAACTTGTGACCTCACACTTGCCAGGCAGATGCTTATACTGCTGAGCTAAATCTCCAGCCCCACCTTTTTTATTTCCTTAGTACTATACTATGGATTGAACACGGGCTTTGCAGCTATTCTCCCAGCCCTTAGTTAAATGTTTATAAAGGTTTCACAATTTCAGCTACACGTATGACTTCAGAAAATAACATTGTTAAACAATAATCTTTCTGTTCTGTAAAAATAGCCTGTTTGCATGTGATTAAAACAGTCTTTTCTTGTTTGGAAAATTTGTTTTTCTCTTTTATTTCTTTGAGACAGCATCTCTCTAGGTAGTTAAGGCTGGTCCTGAACACTCTACATAGCCCAAGCTGGCTTTGAACTCAGCAGTCCTTCTGCCTCAGCCTCCTGAGTGCTGGGATTACAGGCATGTACCACAACTGCCTGGGAAATTTTTTATGCACACTAACAGCTCAACAATTATATCAATATTTGTGTTATTAAGATAATGTAAAATGTTAGATTGAATTTAGATGTCATCAATGTCTTTGTCATCAAACTACCTAATGTTTAATTTCTGCAATTAACCACATAAGCTGAAAACTGGTGTTGTTAAAACACATTTGAAAAATGCTTCCCCCAGTCCATGTGTTTATGATGGCAAAGTATAATAATGAAAACAATACATTGATATAAAAATTAATATAAAATTAGTCACATGCTACTAAAATATGGAAAACAAACATTTTTAATTCAAGTGCAGATTGAATCCTCTTTCAGGTTATATCAGAATCTCTAGGAAACGTCTAGGTAATCAGAATATACCAAAAGTATATATGACTAATATGCTGGTCAAAAGTTAAGGGTTAATTTCAATCTATAATCAATGTAAAGCAAATGGTTTATTTAGAACATCCATTTAGTTACTGGAAGTGATGAAAGCAGGAAAGGGAGATAGGTATTTTTAAAAAATATATGTGGCCTTCTGTCTGTAAGCTCCATTACATCAAAAGAACAAAGTGGGCCTAATGTTTCACTTAAGATTATTCAACATTAATAGTTTTTAGAGAAACGAATATCTTAGAACCAAACCAAGCTGCCTTGATAAATTATAGACATGCTAATGAAAGCTTTTTCTTGGATCTTTTATGGCTAAAATTCAAACTGTCAGACAGTCTTCCAAAAACTGGAATGTAAACTTTTGGGTTGAATTTAGATATGGTCAGTATCTTTGTCATCATCTCCAAAGTCATCAAACTGAATTTCATCATCTTCAGAACCAAATGTGTCAGTCTCACTGATCTTAGCACGCTTAGGAAGCTTGCTATACGCTTTCAGACTCCTTGCTTCCTCCTCAGAGTATGTTAGAATCTACCTGCTTTGTTACCCTGTTAGGCTCAGAGACCAACTAATACGTTGTCTGAGGTATTTATTCCAACCTTTTTTCTCAACTTCTCTCTGATGTGACATAACCTCTTCACACCATCAAAACACATTGCTTCTAACAGTCCATTTCCCAACATCTTGATTACCTGAGCATACTCTTGCCCAACCTCTTTGAACACCAGTTCTCTTTGTTCTCACTAGACTGAGTCTCACTATGTAGTCCAGGCTGGCCATGAACTCACTGTGTAGCCCACACTACCCTGGAATATGGAGTGATCCTCCTGTGTCCATCTTCCAAGTGTTGGAATAACAGGCATGCACTACCATGCCTGGCAATCTTACTTTTGTTGAAAGTTAATTGACTGCAAATGTGAAAGTTTGTTCCTGGTTCCTAAATTTTCCTCCAGTGATATGTGTATCTTATCCCTATGTCAACATCACTCTCTGCATTACAGTTAATGTATTAATAGAAAATATTTTGGCCATCATATTAGGTCACAACTTTACATACGTAAATTGTCATCCATACTTCAGCATTAATGGGACAGCATTACAATTCTCTTTAGGACTTCATCTTAATACTGTTTGATGTCTGAATAACCATATGTATTGTTATTGTTTCTTTTTAATAATTCCCTGATCTATAAGTAAATGCTATGGTTTAAGGAATATTTGAGGATAATTTTAAGAATGTAAAGAAATAACATGGTTTTTGAGAAATGCTTAGTTTTAAGAAATATTTCTTAAAATCATAAGGTGAGCCTTGGAGTAAAATGATATTATGAGCTTTAAAATTATGGAGTATTTCCTACATATGAGACCCTGTTTTGGGTGCTTACATACCCTTATCCTTCACATTGAAGCAGGTTATGTTATCATGTGCAGTATGTATATGAGGAAACTGAGACAAGAGAAGTTATTTCTCAAAAGATAACACTGCTTGTAAAGAATGCAACCTCACCATCTAAGCCTCTGATGCTTTGAAAAGTAGCATGAGGTGTGTATTGCACTGTTATGAAATCTTCAGAATTGTTCTTGTGGCAGCATGTGGTTTGAATTACATTTGTTCACAAAAATCTAGTCTTTCACTGGGTTAAAGTGGGAATATACTGTGGGCTTTTAGCTTTAGCCCTGCCTCTTTGAGTGCTATCTATGGGCTCTAGGGGTATCTTCGTACAGGAGGTTGATTGTTTTACTTGTATTAAGAAGCTGATAAATAGGCTTGGGTTTGAATGTTGGCCCACACACTGCATCTGTGGGACATGAGGTGTCCTCTACACTCTTCCCAAGCTAAGAGAGGGAACTGTAGGATAATGTATATAATTGTGCAAACTGTTCTTGTGAGACTTAAATGAGAATTACCTGTAAGGTGTTTAAGATAGTACACATGCACTCAGTTATACTAATTCCATTTTTTTTTTTTTTTTTGGAGGATCGGGTGCAGATAGGACCTTAAACTATGTAGCCAAGGCTGCTTTTGAAATTACTTCAATCAGTACTCCTGCCTTAGCATCATCTCAAGTGCTAATATTTATTAATAAAATTCCAGATGACTGTCAGTATTTTCTTTCTCTCTGAGGATGTAGCTCACTGGCAGAGTGCATGATTACTTAGTATGTGTGAGACCTTGGGTTCTATCCTCAACACCAAACGAAGATGTGAATTGCACCTTCGTTCCCAGTGGACTTTCTCATTTTTAAGATGGCAGCAATAGTGCCTACATCAAATAGGTCTTTATAAAGACTAAGTAAATGAGTCCATAAATATTTGGAACTGCATCCAGCCCATAGGAAGTACTATAGACATATTTGCTATTACATAATTAATAGCAACAACAAAGTCCTTATTTTTGTCCTCCCTCAAGGCATGTTGTGATGAATAGTCTTGAAGTCTTCTGTAGGACTCAGTTGGTATCTTATATATGTAACCTCAACTACTGTGTCAATAAATGCAGACCAAACTTAGTTCCTATATAGTGACTTAAATTGCCACAGGGCCGAAATAGATGCCTTTATTAATTTTTGCCCTGAGCTATTTGAGGGCACAGCAGCTGTGCTGGTGAGGTCGTGATGCTCAAGATGTCTCTTGAGTTACATTTGCTCTGATACCATGTTCTCCAGTAGGCCCACCTTTGGTGGTGGTTATTTGAGGCCGGGGTTTTACCATTTTCAAGCTGGCCTCGAACTTGTGATCTGTGTGGGTAGGACAGGTGTGCCGCCCAGACAGGCAGAAGTACTGAGCCTGAAGAATGTATCTCAGCTCTTACAACCTGGAGTGACCTCTGCCGGATAGATTGCTCTTCTGTGTGTTCGTGTCACCTGGGCCACTGCTTGTGTCTGTTCTCATTTCAGCATTTGCTGCTGCTACTTGTTCTTTTCTGTTTTGTGTGTGTGTGTGTGTGTGGGTATGGGTGTACACGCTAATGAGGATTGAAATGGGGCACCCTGTTCTGGACCCACATCACCAATACTTTCATTATTTTTTTAAAATTTTTGACACAGGGCCTTACTAATTAGTTGCCGGATCAGTTCTCACATTTGCAATCCTTTTGCTTCAGTGTTCCTAAGTGCTGGGACTACAGCTGTGCTAACTTGCTCTTTTCTTCCCAATTTCTTGTTATTTCCTTCACCTGTCCCTGTTTTCTCTTTTGTGGAGGACGATATCTTCAGCCAGTGGTAGTTTTTATTTATTCTGGCCCACAGATTTTAAGAACCTCAATTATTTCAGTTAACGTCTGTGTTTTCTGCTCTTCTTGATGGTCCTGACCTTGGAATTTCTTTACTTACGAGTTTAGAAGGCCTCTCTGACAACACTAATCACATCACCCTCTGTGTCCATCTCCTACTTCCCAAGCCCGCTGTGCTCTGGCTGAAGCCCAGGCTCTGTAGTGGTCTCCACACTTTACTTGCCTCCCTCTAGTTCATCTCTGTAGAGCTGCACAGCTCCTCTTCCTAAAGTACAAACTCCTCACTTCTGTATCTTGCTTACAAGTTCTCAGTGACTTCTCATGACCCTAGAAATCAGAGTCCTCAGCATGGACTTGAAGTTTATTTATCATCTGGTTTCTCCTGGGTATTTGTTATTTCTGCATCCTTTTAGCCATTAGAGCTTTCCTGTCCTACAGTGACAGGAAAATGCTTTTGGGGTTTTAAGCATGTAGTCTCTTGTGTGTTCCCTTTTCTAAGCTCATCTCCTAAATACGGTTCATACCTTAGACTAGATGGCAGTCCCACTGAGAATCTTTCCCTTCCTGTGGGTTGATTTTTCCTTTGTGTCTAATCTTACACAGATGGCAAGTACAATTTCCATAGCCAGCAAGCACAATTGCTGATGTATGACTGGCATGCAGTAAATATTTAACATTGAGATATTTGAGTCTGGGCTGGGGAATATAGCTCAGTGGATGAGTTTTTGCCTAGCATGCACAGTACCCTGAGTTCAATCCACAGTATCAAGAAAAAAAAAGATATTTGAGATTCACCATGACTGTATATTGTATTGTTACTGTATTATTGTACTAAAAGCATCACTCTTTTTAAAATCTTTTTTTAAAATTAAGTTTGTTGGTACGTGTTAGGTATTTATAATAAACATAGTCACCGTAGAGAATTTGTCCATGTACATGATATAACTTAATTCTTTTTTCCTTCTTTTTCCATTTGCCTACTCTCGCTTTGATACCTCTTCCTTTCCTTATTTATAAAAGCTTTGAGCATTACTCTTAAAATATAGAATGTAGCCTTATTCAAAATACTTCGGTTCAGAGATAATATTTCTTTGGATATATTCATGGAAAAAAATGATCACTAGAGTTAATTTGTAATTATTTCCTTTATTTAGTTACAGCCAAGTTCCACTTCTGAATCTATGGATCAAGTACTAAATAAAAATAGAGAGGGAGAAAAATCAAGAGATTTGATCAAAGAGAAAATTGAACCAAGTGCTAAGGATTCTTTCATTGAAAATAGCAGCAGCACCTGCACTAGTGGCAGCAGCAAGCCGAATAGCCCCAGCATCTCCCCATCAATACTTAGTACTACGGAGCACAAGCGGGGACCCGAGGTCACATCCCAAGGGGTCCAGACTTCTAGCCCAGCGTGTAAACAAGAGAGAGACGATAAAGAGGAGAAGAAGGATGCAGCTGAGTGAGTAAACCTACATTTAGCAAATCCTGTTACTCAGATAACTTTTTTTAATTTCATGTAGTTTACCCTTCCAACTCAGTCTATCTGGACTTTTAGACTGTTTATAAACAATTAACTTAAATAGATATTGTCTTAGAGTAAATCTTTATACCTTAAATACTCTTTGTTTCCCCCATTTTAGTACTTCAGGGTAGGGAAGTAGGCATTAAGTTAAAAAGGCTTTTTCTAGGGGCTGGGGATTTAGCTCGGCAGCATAAGCGCCTGCTTTGCAAACGTGTGGTTGTGAGTTCGATCCCTGATACCGGTAAAAACACAAAAAAAAAAAAAAAAAAAATCAAAAAAAAAAAAAAAAAAAGAGGTTTTTTCTTCAGATGTACAGGACTTAGAAAGTTAAGAGTTCTGGGACCTATCTCTTCTGGACTCCAGTCAGACTAGACTGAACCTTCATATGCTTCTAAGAACTGTCACACACAAAAACAGTGAAGTTTCTGATGCCCTTCCTTGAAATTCAAAGTGTTTTTCATCTGGTTAGTGTTTAGATTTGTTAAGATAAACTTAATTCTACAGAACTAGTGTTTTATCAGTTAAAAGGCTTCAGAAGCCAGGTGTGGTGATGTATGATGATAAGCCTGGCGTTCTGGAGGCCAAGGCAGGAGGATCACCTTAAATTTGAGGCCAATCTGAATGAACTGTGTAGCAAGACCCTGTCTCATAAAATAAAAACAAAACAAAAGTTCCCTCAGATCCTAATCAGTATTGAATTATGTGTTCTGATTATCAAACCGATCCAGTTACAGTTGTATTTTTGAGATACAGCTTTCTAAGTTGGGAAATCGCACCTTGATTTGAGACAGACAACTTTATTAGAGCCCTAACTTTTCTCAAGATATGTTATGTAAAAATATCTTGTCACACTAAAAATAATTGCAGGTTATGTAGTACAAATATAGTAAAGCATTACCTTTAATACAAGGATATTTTATAAGGAGCTACTGTCTTTTAGCTCAAATATTTGTTGATAGCTCATAAGAGGAGAAATTGTATTCTAAAAAGTTGTAAGCACAAATTTTGTTTTTGCTTGTACAGCTTCTTTATCAGATTAAGGAATAGATAATGGGGAGGGAGTGTGTGTGTGTACACTATAAAGATTAGTGATTTTTCTGGTGAGAACTGTTTCAATTGTGTGTTTAACAATTTAAAAATAGATTAAGTATGGAAAATTTTAGGGAACCACAAAGCCTATGCAGATTTCACTGGCTTTTGTATTTTTTTCTGGTTTAGGCAAGTTAGGAAGTCAACATTGAATCCCAATGCCAAGGAGTTCAACCCTCGTTCTTTTTCTCAGGTAACTTTGTTACTTTATTTCAGGTAAGCTACTCCCTGAAATGATTATAGTTAGTTATAGTTGCCCCCCTCCCATACCTATATTCTAAGTTCAGTTTACCATGCTAAAACAACTTTATTTTGCTTGTATGGATCACTTGTGAAACTTTTTAGTCAGAAAAAAAGATTTTTGTTTGGTCATAAGTTAGGTGTTATCTGGGAGAAAATGTTGTGAATCTTTCTGACTCAGAATTGAAGAAGATTGGCTAGCTTAACTGTCAGGTTCTTAGGTACACTATTGTGTTTTTCTGCTGAGTTTATTTAAAAATTTTTTTACTTTTAAAAATTCTTTCTCTGAGTCCAAATCACTGCCACTATAATTTTTTTCATTAGCAGGATTTTGCTTTAGTTTTCTATGAAAACATTTTTTCTTTCGTTTAAACATTTATTTCCTAGGCCAAGAATATGGCTCAGCGGCATGGTGCCTGCCTGGCAAGCGTGAAGTCCTGAGTTCAATTCTCGGTTCAAAAAACCGAGATGGTTGTTGGTTGTTGGTTTGTGTTTTGTTATTTTGAGGTGGTTTTTTTCCCCCCTCAACAAAGGATACTGGTTAAAAGCAAACAAAAATTAAAAAGATTAGGAAATAACCTGAAAATTGCAGTAATAGTTTTCACGATGAGATAGTTGAATTTTATTTTTGTTTTTGTAGCCAAAGCCTTCTACCACCCCAACTTCACCTCGGCCTCAAGCACAACCTAGCCCTTCTATGGTGGGTCATCAACCGCCAACTCCAGTTTATACTCAGCCTGTTTGTTTTGCACCAAATATGATGTATCCAGTTCCAGTAAGCCCGGGCGTGCAAGTAAGTCATGGAACTTGACATTCACTTAACTACTTGGCTTGTTTGATGACGGCATTCTTTAGATTTGTAGTGATTTGAGGTACATTCACATTCAGAAGTGCTCTTGAAGAAGCGAGGTATGCAATGATTTGGTCTGTTGTTACTATAAGGTCCTAAATCTTAAAATGTTTACTGGTGAGACAGAAGAGTTAAATTTACTATAGTTTGTTGGAGCTTATCCTTTTACCTTGGGTATGATTCTGTTTTTTAACAACACCTAGGAGATAAAGAAAACCCAGTTCTAGCTCTCAGCAAGATAAAATAGTGATAGACCACCTTCTTATCATAAGAATCTAATATTGTTTTTTTAATTCCCTCAAGCCTTTATACCCAATACCCATGACGCCTATGCCAGTGAATCAAGCCAAGACATATAGAGCAGGTAAAGGTGAGAATAATCCTGCCTGTGTTTGCTTGTAGCCTGCATGCTGCATGAATTAAACATCTTAGTTTATAATGAACACTCATGACTCAGCTTCAGCTTTTGATTAGGCTGCGTATTGAATTGTGATGACCAACGTTAAGGTATTTAGATGAATTTTTATGAAAAAATATGAAAGAAAAATGCCTTAATTGTGATTGTTCAGTATCTTAAAAATAGTGCATTCTAAAGGGTGCATTCTGAAGTTTGAATTTAAATTTGAAAAATAAGGTTTGCTAGATTAATTTACTAGATTGCTGACCTTATTTTACATTAAATTATAAGTATTTTCTCAATATCCAGAATTTCTTTTGAAACAGAAGACATGTCAGAATCCTGTTAGATTGTTTTTTATCTTAACTTTTTATATGCATATATATGTTTTTTCTTTCACACTAATGAAACAATATGATGTTTACACATGTGTCTCATTTCGCTAATGAGTACATTCTCAAGTTGCACTCATGTATCTATAAAACTCTCCAGTTTATCCTTCTTTATGGCTGAGTAGTACTCTATTGTATAAAATACTACAACTTTTTTATCCATTCATCGGCCTATGGGTATTTAGGTTGTTTCCAAGACCTGGTTATTACAAACTGTGCTGCTATAAACATAGGTGCACATACATCACTGTAGTATGATGTTTTTAATTCTTTTGAGAAGATACCCAGAAGGAGAATAGCTGGGATGAATGGGACCTCAAGTCCTAGCTTCTTTGAGGAATCTCCACACTGATTTCCACAGTGGTTGTACTAGTCTGTATTCCCACCAACAGCAGAAAAGGGTTCTTTTTAAATTCTTTAGGGAAGATACCCTGAAGGGGCATGGCTGGGTTGAATAGGACCTCTAGTCCTAGTTTTTGAGGGATCTCCATGCTGATTTTCACAGTGGTTTCACCAGTCCCACCAACACCCACAACCCTGCCAGCATTTATTTTTGCTTGGTTTCTTGATACTAGCTATTTTTTCTGGATGAAGTGGAATCTCAGTGTTGTTGCATCTCTCAAATGACCAGTGATATTGAACATTTTTTCATATATTTATTTGTGGTTTGTATTTCTTCATATTAGAAGTGTATATTCATTTCAAATGAACATGTTTAAATTGGGTCTTTAAATCTGAGAAGACTGATATTTTGAGCTCTTTATATGTTCTTGATAGTAATCCTTTGTCTGAGGAACAGCTGGCAAACATTTTTTCCCACATTGTAGGTTGTCCCTTCACTCTGTTGGTGGTTTCTCTTGCTGTGCAAAAGCTTTTCAGTAGAGTAAGATCTTTGTAGAGTAGCTCTTCAGTAGAGTTGATTCTTTGTGAAAATTCCTGTGCAATTTGGGTTTTATTTCTAAAGGCTTTGCCTACATCAGTGTCTTCCAACAGTTTTACCTGCTGTTATCTTTCAGCAGATTTAATGTTTCTGTTTTAATATTAAGATCTTTGATCCATTCAGATTTTAGCTTAGTACATGGTGAAAGATAAGGGTCAGTTTCCAGCAACATTTATTAAAGAGGCTATCTTCCACTGAATGTGTTTGACACCTTTATCAAAGATAAGGTGGCTTAGTGTGTCTGGAGTTCTTTCTGCATCTTTTAATCTGTTCCATTGATCTTTAGGTCTGGCTTTTTTTTTTTTTTTGCCAGTTCCACACTGTCTTTATCACAGAATTTTTATAGTATAATTCCAGGTCAGGATTATGATGCCTCCTGTCTTGTCTCTGTTGCTCAAGATTGCCTTTGCTATTCTAGGTCTCTTTAGAGATTATTTCTTCACTGATTATACTAGTTTTTTGGACTTGTATGGTTTAAAAAATAAAAAATCTTTTAATATTAAGAAATGCTAAATAATTCCTTTTTTGAAATTCAATTAATTGTTATTTTGTTGAGAAATAGGAAAAAGTAGGACTTCTATAGAAAAGACAATTTTCAATGCCCAATAATTATCTTTCTGACATAAAAATTTCACCTAAGTTTTTTGTTTGTTTGTTTTTGTTTTTCTGGGTTTTTTGAGATAGAGTCTCATCATGTAGCTAATAGTTTGGGTTATCCTTGAACTCACTATGTAACCCAGGTTGATCTCAAACTCATGATGATTCTCCAACCTCAGCCTCTAAAGTGCTGGAATTGTAGGCATGCTTTACCATATGTGACCAAATTAGGATTTCTTAGTGTTTGAAATAATTGTTATTTCGTACGTTAACTGAAAGTCTTGGTTAATTTTCTTTTTGTAAGTATGGTAAGCTTTTTGTTGCAGGGATGATGCTTAGAATCCTTCAGCTCACTAAAAAACTCTACCTTAACCAAAATGTATAGTAGATATTGGGAAATGGGAAGAAAAATTCAGGTGGGTAAGGAAACAGAAGAAGAAAGGGGAAGGAAGGAAACAAAGGACAAAAAAAAAAATAGATGGAAACAAAGCTTTTGTAAATAAGGAAAGGAAGAAAGGTTGAAGAGGAAAAGAAGAATGAAAAAAAGAAGCAGCAAAATATGTCATGTTCAGGGACAAATTCCCAATGATGAATGTGATCATTATGTATACCTAAAATGTACCAACGAAGCTTCTTTTAAAAGTTAGGAAATGGTCTGGGGATTTAGCTCAGCGACATAAACACCTGCCTGGTAAGCACCAGGTCGTGAGTTTGATCCCCAGTACCAAAATAAAAAAAAAAAAGAAAAAGGAAATAAAGAGCAGAAATTAATGAAATAGTAAATAAAAAATAGAGAAATATAAAAAAAACTGGGTAAATAAAAGGAAAATTGACTAACCTTAAAAGAACCCAAAAACTCTACCTTTGGTTATTTAAAGTAATTCTTAGTTACAGAAATTAATATTTTTTTGTTTGATTGGGATTTTTTTTTTTTGTTGGTACTGGGGCTTGAACTCAGGGTTTTGTGCATGCTAGTCAAGCACTCTACCACTGAGCTACATCCCCACCCCCAGAAATTAACTTTATTGTGAGAATTTGAAGGGACTCAGGAAAGAGGGATTTTTTAGTGTGTCATTATTAAGGCATTCTTATGTTACTTCCTTGTGTTAGGGTGTGAGGATTTTTTGGGTTTTTTGGAAACAAGGTCTCACTATGTAGTTCAGGCTGGTCTTTATTCACTGTGCAGCCCAGGGTGGTCTTGAACTTGAGGTAATCCTCCTTCCTCATCTCCTGAGTGCTAGAGTTACAGATGTGCACCAGTATCTCTGGCATTGTTGCTGGTTACAGTGCAAAACAGAGTTATGTTAAAATGGAAAAGATAGGGCTGGGGATTTAGCTCAGCGGCATAAGCACCTGCCTTGGAAGCAGATGGTCGTGAGTTAGATCCCCCGTACCGATTTAAAAAAAAAATTTTTTTTTTTAAAATGGAAAAGATAGCCAGGTGTGGTGGCGCATGCCTGTGATCCCATCACGCAGAAGGCTGAGGCAGGAGGATCATTGTGAGTTCAAGGCCAGCGTGAACTGCATAGTGAGACCCTGTTACCAAAGACAAAATGAAGGAAAAGATTATTGCAGTAAAAGCAAGCGTGACAGTACAGCCTGCCAACAAGAGAGCTACATTCTGGCCTCAGGAGGCTCTGCCCTTTTATTAGAAACTGTATGTCCTGAGGATAGTTCAGCCTATTTTACAGAAATATTTCTGTTAAAACCATAAGGATATTGTCAAGCATATCAACTATGGAGCCAGAAATGATGGCACATACCTGTAATCCTGACACTTAGGAGGCTGAGGCAGGAAAATCACTGTGAGTTAAAGGGCAGCCTGACCTCTATAGTGAAACTGTCTCAAAAAGATTAAAAAAAAAAAAATACTAGCTATGAACAGGAATTAAGTAGGTGAGAAGTGGTTTTATCCATCATCCAGATTCTGTGATGTATAATAAAATTTTGCCATATTAATATGTATTTTTTTCTTTGCTGGAAATTTAAAACAAATCTCAAAACCAGATGTGGTTGTGCACACCTGTCATTCCAACACACTGCAGATGAGAAAGAAAGCTTGCACATTTGAGCCTAGCCTGGGCATTAGGATAACTGAGCAGGTTAGTGAAACCCTGTCTCAAAAATAAAGAATAAAAATGTACAAGGATACAGTGGAGAAAAGAGAGCCTCTCCAGTAAATGGCACTAAACTAAAATCAAAATGGATCAAAAATCTAAATGTTAAAAACAATCTAGTCAGGCATTATAGCATATGTGTATAATCCCAGCAAGGAGGCTGAGGCAGGAAGATCACTGGGAGTTCAAGGCCAGCCAGGGCTACATGGTGGGTTCAAGATCAGCCTGAACGTCACTAGTGAGACCCTGTCTCACAAACAAAAACTTAATTTACTGAAAGGTAAACTCTGTACAACTGTTGAAGACGTAGATATAGGCAAGGACTTTTTGAATAGAACCCCAACAACATAAATAATAACAAGAGTCACCAAGTGGGGTAATATCAGATTAAAAATTTATACACAGCAGAGGAAACAACCAACAGAGTGAAGAAAGAACCTACTGACGGGGCAAAAAGTTGCCAGCGGTTCCTTGGACAGACAGGTAACATCCAGGATAGTGAAAGAATTGAAAAACACTAAATCCCTCCCCCAGCACCAAAAAAGACCCAGTCAAAAATGGGCAACCAGGCCAGAGGTTTAGCTCAGTGGTGTAAGTGCCTGCCTGGCAAGTGTGAGTGAGGTCATGAGTTCAATCCTCGTTACCAAAAAAAGGGCGGGGGGCAACCACTGCCTCAAAAAGACAAAGATGAAAGCAAAAACAAACCTGAGCGGGGCTGGGGATTTAGCTCAGCGGCATAAGCGCCTGCCTTGAAAGCAGGCAGTCGTGAGTTTGATCCCCGGTACCGATAAAAAGGAAAAAGACAAAAAAAACCTGAGCCAGGCATGGTGGCGCACTCCTATAATCCCAGCACTCAGGAGGCTAAGGCAGGAGTATTGCAAGTTCAAGACCAGCGTGGACTACAAAGTGAGCACAAAGACAGCCTGA